CCGGACACGTCCCCGCGCCGTCGGCCGCGACACCTCACCTCAGCGCCGTGTCCCGCGCGCCCGGCCCCCACGAGCTCCGGCCGCCATGGCTTATGGCGGCGTCGCCCCCGCCATGGCCATCGGCCGCGAGACCTCAGCGCCACCACAGCTGCGCGCCCGCCCGCTAGTTCCGGGCGCCATGGCGCGACGACCGCGTGCTCCCGAGCCGCGCGGCACCAGTGAGCGATGGCGGCCTTGAGCGAAGCCCGCGAGCGGGCTCTCGCCGGCCTAAGCGTGAGCACGAGCTCCGCCAAGCGCGGACGCGAGCGCGAGCGTGAGCTCTGTCGGGCGCGGGTGCGAGCTCCGCCGGCCTCGGACGTGAGCGTGAGCGGTGTGGACTAGAGAAGAATATTTTGTACCTTTATACTGACCTGGCCGAGTTGGTTCGTTACGAAGCATATACGTATGCGCCATGCACGCCGATGCCGTTGCCCACCGGGCGGCATGTGGGCGGCGGGTTTCTCTGTCCGAACGCCAAAGTCGGGGTATGCTCCGATCCATTCCTCCGGCAAGCAATCGATCGAGCAAGGACGGACGTACGTGTGTGTGCGCGCGGCTGCCGTCAGCGCCCGCCGCCCGTGCATGTGTGTCGTCACCGCGTGCCGCGGCGCGGAAGGCGTGAGCCGTGAGCGGCCGGGGCAGGGGTGGCTGTTGCTTCCTGCACTGCACGAACCGCGCTCGCATCGGCACGGGCACGGGCACGGATCCACGCCACGCCCCACGCTAGCGGCCGGGCCGGCACGGGAGCGCTCGACGGGACGGTTTCACACGAAAGAGAAACAACTTCGTCCTGTTCGGCTTACCCATATTCAGTTTAATCGACTTCTTTTTTCAGTCAGAACAATATTCCTCTCTCATAGCAATTCAGCCGAAACAGTATTTTTCGATCAATTTCAGGCAAGTTTGGGAGGAGCGAACGGACCTAACAGCGGGAACGGCCCTCGTAAAACACCCGTGCAGTGGATTGGATACTGCTGGCATGCCGACGTGCTGGCCTGGACCTGATATACAGTATTACAGTATAGTAGTATGTAAACTGTTGTCATCTCCGAGCGAAATATTTGCTGCGAATCTGGCTCAAACTGTCTCGTGCAAATGGGGAATACATAGTACAATATTATATATGCAAATAAAAAAAAAATTATAAGGGAGGCTGGGTCAAGTCAACGATTCCTGACTCATGCCAGATATAGCATGACCCGAGGAACAAGCCCATGTGGCACCGTATCTCCTCCACCGCGACCACGCATATATATGTTTTCTTTCCAATATTATTACTATATTTATGTAAAACTCGTGTATAAGTACTAGCAAATATGCACGTGCGTTACAACGAAAGAAAATAAGCAATCAAATATTCAAAGGAAAAGAGAGTTTTACTTTTAAAGCTATAACTTACTTTGATCCATGGTATAAGTTAATGATGCCAATAATGTGAAAATATTTTATTAAACATATAGCACGTCTTTGTATACAAAAGTACAATTTTAAAAGTTTTTTTTGCAAAACACAAAATATTTACTCATAAATATATCACAGCTCTAATTTTCATAGTATATATGTATTATTACAGTAATATCAAATTATGTGCTTTCTTTGACGAGGACCCATAAAAGTACGCAATTCTAACATTTGTTACAGCATTGGAATGGTTATGACAAGAGACATCTCTCTATTTTACACGTGGTGGCACTCATCAGGGTTGCACTGCTACATGTGTAAAATGCAGAGACATATTAATTTAGACTAGATTAGATAACAAACAACTCAACATTTTAGCTTACGGTTATATTAGACAAATCTTACTCCAATCTTATCTTAACTCAAAATTAAACCACGAAGAGCTGTTGGCTTCCTCGGTTTTGATTGTTTTTTTTTATTAATTTTCTCTTCTGTGTTCCGATTGTTTTTTTTCCGTTCCGTTTATATTTTTCCATGTTTTTATTTATCACGCTTACTTTTTTCCTTTCTATGTTGAGTTCCCTTTTTCTTTTCGGTTTTCTTTCGTATTTCCTTTTTCGTGTCTTTCCCGTGTTTTTTCTTCTGGGATTTTCTTATTTCAGTTTTTCTTTTCCTTTTATGTTCCTCATTTTAGCTCCAGCTAAGACGCAAAAAGCTAGGACGCTCAGGCTGATTCGAATAGAATTTCTATTCAGGAAGCCTTACACGTTTTAAAACAGGACCCGGGAGCTCTATTTGGAATAGAATTTCTAGTTATCCACGTACACAACATGATACATTTTGGAATCGGACTCTATATCGTGCTAGACCAGAGTTATTGAGCACGGATTATATATATAAGTCCGGACAGAAGAAATTCTCCATTGTCCGATAGTTAGAGGGAGATGGACTAAAAAAATAGATGGTTAAAAAAATTGACTGAAATTTTGTCTCTTTATTATTAGGTATATATATATATATATATATATATATATATATATATATATATATATATATATATAGATATAGATTCTTATACGGAGTATAAAATAAAAAAGGAAAAGATTCCCCAGGTAAAGCCATCGCCATCAGGAATTCAGGAGGACGAGCAGGAGCTCCCAGTCAGGTTCCACCCCGGCAGCGGCCGAGCGGTTGCTGTCGCGCGCAGGAAAACGAGAGGATCTGCCGACGCATCCCCGTACGTCCTCGTACCGTCGTATAGGCCGAGGACGCGCGCGCGTACAATACGCCGTGGCGACGATACGTCTCGCTCGTGGACGCCTCCGTCTTCAACTGTTGGTCGACAGGAACAGTTCCGTTGCAGTCCACTGGAGAAGAACGAACCAACCAAAACGGGTGCAGCTCGCGGCGCCGCCGATCGCCATCGATCCACCCGTCCGTCTCGCCTCGCTCTGGCGGATGGAAATTGGACGTGAGCGATGCGTTCGTTCCCGTGGTTTTTTATTTATTTTTGGGCACTGCGAGTGTGGGCAGTTTTGGTTTTGGGCTCAGCATTGTCGCTCAAAATCGAACCTTCCACACACACACACACACACACCACACTCCACATGCCTTTCACTTTCACCGTCTCCGTCGCCCGGCGCCGGCGGCTATTGGCATGCAGTTTTGTTACTGCTGCGACTACTGTTTTACTGCAGTGCTAGGCTGCTACTGCTAGCAGCAGGTTCGATGGCGATGGCCCTCAAGTTCAGGCTTCAGACACGGGTGCATGGATGGATGGACGGATCGTCGTCAGTGGAGTCGGTGTCGGTGAATTTATTCTGCGACTATACAGCCAGTCACCAGTCCGATCAAAATTTACTACTCCTACAGGTAGAGGTAGTACAGGTGCAGGTACGTAGGGGGTACAGCCTCGTTCCGTATTCAAGTCAAAAAGTGCCGGAGAGGAGGACTGCACTCCTACACTTGCCAACCGCTTGCGCTGGCTGGTTGAATGAGCAGGGCGTCACCGTCACCGTCACCTAGGCGCGCGGTCAAAACTCACTGCAAACTGCAGCAGCGTCTGCTTGCCTGGATGCCTGTGCGTCACTCTTGCTACGCTACTGCTTGCTTCCACTCGCTGGGACTCTGCTACCCCGGCACAGCACAGCACAGTAGTCCTCACTTGGCAACAGCATCCGGTAGTAGTAGTAACACAGAGTTTCCACAGTGCTAATCGTGCTTCCGTACCAGGGCAGGCATAATGGGGGATCAGTGAGGCTAAGCACCTGCCAATCAAGCATCAGCGTAATAAGCAAGACGGTCTCCAGTAACCGTTATTAAAATACATATTCTATAGATATTGGGTGTTCCGATGGATCTCAGCCTAAGCCAAGAGAGGACCGACCGAGCGATGAGGACGTGAGGGCCTCAGGCCTGAGGGGAGATCAGGAGGGTTCGGGGTGCGGCACGCGGAGCACTGTTCATGTGCGATTGCACGTCGCGCGCAGCGCAGGCGCTGTAGCCGTACTAGGGGAGAGGAGTAGTAGTAGAGCCGAGTGGAAGGAAGCAAGGACACAGAGAATTGACAAAAATCACGCAAGGGGAGGAGAGAGAAGAGGGAGCACCGGAGCAAGAGCAAAGCTGAAAAAGAGGAGCACCACTCGTGGGGTGGGGTTAAAACCCCGAGAACAAACTTGGGAGCAGCAGCGGCCAGCCGGAGCGAGCGAGACCGAGGGGGAGAGGAAGCAAGCAACGAGACGAGCGAGGAAGCAAGCGAAAGCATACCAGAGCAGCAAGCAGAGGGGCGCGCTTGTCCCTCCCTGCAAGGCGGCTGCAACTGTTCCAGTTCCAGCAAGCCCCTCTCCCAGGCTCTTCTGCGTAGTAGTATTGCCAGAGCAGCTGCACCCGCGCCCCAGCGTCTGCGAGGAGCAGGGAGCGAAGGGGAGAAGCGGCGGCGAGCGGGCGAACATGCTTGGCGCCCCTCCCCGGCGCCGGGCGGATCTGCCAGAGGGCGGCGGCCGGGGCGCGGGCGGCGCGGTGCTAACCGCCCTCGACGGACCTCGCGGCCGCGGGATCTGACGCCGCGCCTGCCTCCTCGGATCGATCGACCCCTGCGGCAGCGGCGGCCGAGGCGCCAGCGCCGGGTTCTCTCGGCTCCGGCACAAGGTAGCCTTTTCCTCTGCGCATTCTCGCTGCTTAAATATCGCAGCCAGACCGACCTTTCCAAGCAAGTGACATGCTACAACCTTTGTGTTCCTTCCTCTGATTATAGAAGGGAAAGATTGCGGCTGCGTTTGCTTGGGCGCCGCGCCGGTGGCGGTAATCTTCGGGAGCCGCAGCCGCGGCACGCGGTGGAGGGGAAAAAACAGAGAGAGAGATAAGGCTGTGCCTGCCTGCCTGTCTCTCGCGGTGACTTGGCGAGGAGTTACTGGGAAAGCAGCGAATGGTTTTCGGGAAGGCGCTGTGATTTGGCCTGAAAAGGAGGAATCTTTCCTTCCTCTTCGCCTTCCTTTGCCGGCTCTTATATCGCCCTCATCAGATCGGCGGCACGGTTGCTGCTTCCTCGGCAACGGGCGAAAATGAGGCTCTCGTCGTCTTCCGGCAGCGTCCTCCCGGCTCAGCCGGGCTCGCCGGAAGGTACTCTCCTTCACCTGCTCTGCTCTGCTGCGCCGACTTCGACTTCTCGTTGGCGTCTTGTTCATTCATTAATGCTCTTTCCGTTCGTTGTTTCCTCTTCCGTATTAGTTTCAGTTGGAGTTGTAGGACTGCTATTTGGTTTCTGTTTGTTCCTAAATGCCTCGCTTTAAAGTTTAAACCTGCTCTGTGGCCGTGCGTGTGATCCTGCAGCAGCGACCCAGTGCGATGTGTTTGATTTGGGAGGGTTATCTGGATTTGTTTTGATGATTTTTTTTAAGGCGTTACTGTCACGAACTCGGGACCGTTTTTTCTTTCGATTTTGGCCCCCTTTTTCTTTTGTCTATTATTAGTTCTTGCTGTCTGTTGATTTCTTGATATTTCTCTTTCCCAGGAATATATTGATATGTATTTCCACCCGAGTTGTTGGTTGTTTTCAATTGAGACGTATTAAAGCTGATTTGTTGGGAGAGAAAAATAGTATAGATTCTAGCTGATAAGATCGAGCGAACAGGCCCGAAAAGAATAGTCCCCAATCGTTGCAGTTTAAGGACATTTATTATAAGTTAATACACCTTCTTGATTCTCAATTCTATCACTTAGAATTGGAATTTATGTTGTATCATCCACTTTCTGAAACATTTTTTTTTTGTTGGCATAAGCATATGTCACCAAGTTCATTCTCCCTTGATATTTCGTTCCTGAAGAAACTTGCAGTAGTGGATCTTGTTTTGACAACAAAACAAATACTTCTGCCATTACAGCTGTGGAGGAGCACAAGTGCCTGAATTCGGAGTTGTGGCATGCCTGTGCCGGCCCGCTTGTTTCCTTGCCCGCGGTGGGTAGCCGGGTTGTGTACTTCCCTCAGGGCCACAGTGAGCAGGTTTGTGCACAAAGCTCACCATGCCCGTGAATCCTATGTCCTCTTCCAGTTTGGCTGTCAAGCTCAAACCCCCAATTATCCCCTGCCAGTATTTCTAAAACTCGAAAAATTCTCCTTTTTACACTAGTTTTTTTTTTTGGTGAATATCTGCTGCAGGTAGCAGCATCAACAAACAAGGAAATGGAGTCTCAGATCCCCAATTATCCTAATCTGCCGCCACAGCTTATATGCCAACTGCATAATGTGACGATGCATGTAAGTTTGGAGCCTTGGAACACTTTCTCCTTAAGTTGAGTAACCTTAGTTTTGTGTTTCATTATCTTTGTTATTTCTCTTCTTTCAGGCTGATGCAGAGACAGATGAGGTATATGCACAGATGACACTACAACCACTCAACCCGGTAAATTATGTTGTTTCTGCCTATTTGTGTCATATAACATGCAAGCTCCTGTTTGTATCTATGAAGAGTAATATTTGGCTTGCTTTTTGTGCAGCAAGAACTGAAGGACCCATATTTACCTGCAGAATTAGGTTCGGGCAATAAACAGCCAACAAACTATTTCTGCAAAACATTAACAGCAAGTGACACAAGTACCCATGGTGGGTTCTCTGTTCCCCGTCGAGCAGCTGAGAAAGTGTTTCCTCCACTGGTATGTGCAACTTCTCTCAAATTTCAAGTTCATTATTTATGTTGATTCTGTTACAGAAAGTGAACTTCTCTCAAGTTTCAACTTCATTATTTATGTTTCCTCCACAGATTGATCTAATTTGCGAAATACTGTGTAGGATTTCACCCAGCAACCTCCATGCCAGGAGTTGATGGCAAAAGATCTTCATGGCAATGAGTGGAAATTCCGTCACATCTTTCGTGGTAAGCAGTTTTCATTTTTCCTTTTAACTCTGTTTCCTGTGCATTCAATGGTAAGTGCTATTGCATAACCTTCTAAATACCGTCCTTAATGCAGGTCAGCCAAAGCGGCATCTTCTAACTACAGGCTGGAGTGTCTTTGTAAGTGCAAAGAGACTCATTGCTGGTGACTCTGTCCTTTTTATCTGGTATGTTCATACTTCCGGCATTCCAAACAATCACGTGTTCTCTCTCTTTTTCCTCTCCTTCCAATCAGATAGTTTCTTTTTGGTTGATTTTATGTCTCATTGCGTTGTCAGGAATGACAATAACCAGCTTCTGCTGGGAATTCGTCGGGCAAATCGGCCACAAACAGTCATGCCATCTTCAGTCTTATCAAGTGATAGCATGCATATCGGTCTTCTTGCTGCAGCTGCTCATGCTGCTTCGACAAATAGCCGGTTTACAATTTTCTACAACCCAAGGTAGGACCTCTATAATCACTTATTTTTTGGGCGTTTTTCCTGTCAAATGTTTTAACATTTGCTTTTGCAGGGCAAGCCCTTCAGAGTTTGTCATACCGCTTGCAAAGTATGTTAAGGCTGTGTATCATACCCGTATATCTGTGGGGATGCGTTTCAGGATGCTTTTTGAGACAGAAGAGTCTAGTGTTAGGAGGTAAGTTCAAATCTGTTTGCAACTTCACCTTTTATGTTTTACCTCTTAGTTCATTTGCCATTTTAATTTTTCTTTCTCTACCATTTTCCTACACATTGCCTGTCTAGTTTTGAGGATTACTGCATTCGCCAATAAGATCTATGGCTTAGGCCGCATGTCAATATACCTCTTTCCTTAACACTGAACATTGAACTACTGTATATGCAGTCATAAGTGGTATTAGCAGTCTAATCAGATCAAATACATTCAATTCCAGATACATGGGGACAATTACCGGAATCAGTGATCTTGATTCTGTTCGGTGGCCAAATTCACACTGGCGTTCTGTTAAGGTATATTTTGGACCTGTGCTTCTCTTGTTTCCTCTGCTTACTATACAAGCCCTTGTCAACCATGTCTGTTGCAAATTTTCAGTTGAAAAAATGATACTACTCCAGTACTCCCTTAAAATTTGTTCTCTCAGAGGTACCTACTTCATGGTTTTGTATGATCACAAAATTTACGTGTGAATGAATATAGGTTGGCTGGGATGAATCAACTGCTGGTGAGAGACAGCCAAGGGTGTCACTATGGGAGATTGAGCCCCTGACAACTTTCCCAATGTATCCATCTCCTTTTCCGCTCAGGCTCAAGCGTCCATGGCCAACAGGCTTGCCTTCTCTGCATGGTATGAGGTGCAGTTATGTTTAGCTAGCCTTTGTAGATATGTTAGCTTATTAAATAATTTTGCAATATGCATTCTATCGCCAATAACCTTTCATGTGATGTCTATCCGTAGGTGGGAAGGATGATGACCTGGCAAACTCTCTCATGTGGCTTCGAGATACCGCAAATCCTGGTTTTCAGTCGTTAAATTTTGGTGGACTTGGTATGAACCCTTGGATGCAGCCAAGGCTGGATGCTTCCTTACTTGGTCTGCAACCTGACATGTATCAGGCGATGGCCACAGCTGCTTTCCAGGATCCAACAAAGCAGGTATCATCACCCACAATGCTGCAGTTCCAGCAGCCACAGAACATATAGCTGGCGCCACGCCACTTCTTTCAAGTCAGATTTTGCAGCAAGCACATCCTCAATTTCAGCAGCAGCCGTACCTTCAAAACATCTCCGAGAGCACAATCCAAGCGCAGGGTCAGTCTGAGTTCCTCAAACAGCAGCTCCAACGCAGCCAGTCATTCAATGAGCAGAAGCCCCAGCTGCATCCCCAGCAACAACAGCAAGAATCACAGCAGCAGCAGCAATCACAGTGTCTGCAAGTCCCTCAACATCAACAAATGCAACAACAGAACATGACCAACTACCAGTCTGTATCTAATGCATTATCAGCATTTTCTCAGCTGTCGTCAGCCTCTCAGTCTTCACCTCTGGCACTGCAAACAATATTACCGTTCTCACAGGCACAGAGCTTTACAGACACCAATGTAAGCTCACTGTCTCCATCCAACACCAACACCAACACCAACACCATGCAAAATACACTGAGGCCATTCTCATCAGAAGCAGTTTCTCACCTCAGTATGCCGAGGCCCACTGCGATACCTGTCCCTGACCCATGGTCATCGAAGCGAGTTGCGGTGGAGTCTTTGATTCCTTCTCGGCCCCAGGTTTCGTCCCAGATGGAACAATTGGACTCTACACAAGCTAGTATACCTCATAGCTCTGCGTTGGCACCACTTCCTGGAAGAGGATGCTTGGTGGATCAAGATGTGAACTCTGATCCTCAAAATCACCTCTTGTTTGGTGTTAGTATAGATTCGCAGTCACTGCTAATGCAAGGAGGCATCCCTGGTCTCCAAAATGGGAATGATTCAACTGCTATACCTTATTCCACTTCCAATTTCCTGAGCCCTTCCCAGAATGATTTTCCTTTGGATCATACTCTAAATTCTTCAGGCTGCTTAGATGATTCTGGGTATGTGCCGCCATGTTCAGATAATTCTGACCAAGTGAACCGACCACCAGCGACCTTCGTGAAGGTGAGTAATTTTTTTACTGGGAAGGGATCCATATTTCTTTTGTGAATTGGACTTTATTTTTTATGTGCTTCACATGTTATTGCCAGAATATTTAACTACTTGCTCACAACTGTCTGAAATTTGTGCACTGCTAATGCTTTACAATTTTTAACCATTATATCTGTTGAATATAATGGATAATCACGCAATTAAGCTTGTAGAGCATTTTATTAGAAAACAATGGTATACCTGTTTGCACTTGATATAAGAAGCTAGTCTCTGAGAAGTTCTGTTTTTTTCTCCCTAATCTATTATAACCAACACTGGCACTAATCTACTACACATTTGCTTCTGTTTGAATAACAGGTTTACAAATCTGGAACCTACGGAAGGTCGCTTGATATCACTAGGTTTAGTAGCTATCATGAGCTCCGTAGGGAACTAGGGCGCCTATTTGGCCTTGAGGGCCAGTTGGAAGACCCTTTGAGATCAGGCTGGCAGCTTGTATTCGTCGACCGTGAGGAGGACATCCTTCTCGTGGGCGACGACCCTTGGCAGTAAGTTCTCACGACCGTCGCGATGATGCATCCTGAACACTTTCATGTATTTCTTTTCCACACTCTTCCTCACATTGCTGCCCTTTGTAACCCAACCTGCAGGGAATTCGTGAGTACGGTGTCCTGCATAAAGATACTCTCGCCGCAGGAGGTGCAGCAAATGGGCAAGCAGGGGCTGGAGCTCCTGAGCTCAGCCCCCGCGCGGAGGCTAGATAACAGCTGTGACGACTACGTTAGCAGGCAGGAATCGAGAAGCCTGAGCACCGGGATTGCGTCCGTCGGATCGGTCGAGTTCTGATGAGCCGAAGATAGGGCGCCCGCAGCAGGAGCAAGTTACATGCCCTCAGGTTAGGGCTGAGGGCTGGTCTGCGACCCAACCCTCGAGCTTGTTTTGCACTTCCAATGGTCTAGTGACCTTGGGATGGATGGAGCTGGAATGGAAGTTCAGCGCGGACCAAGCCTTAGCTCCCCGAATTATGTACCATCTAATAATTCTGTTCGTCGTATGATATCATCAACTCCTAAGTAGAAAACTACCGACGGCGGGTGCCCGCTGCCGTTGGTATACATGCTGAAACTTTGTTCTTGTATGGAGAAATACTAATCCTGTGAATGTAGCCAGTCTCTCTAATGATGGATCAGGTACCCTCTTGTTGCCTAGCAGGCTAGCACACAGCAAGCACATGCCTGGTTTTTTCATGTTCCTGCAGGGCAGCTGCACGATGATTGCGTTTTTTGTTCTACTCTGAGCAATTGTGTCATGCAGCAACCAGACAGCAGGAAGGGGGTGGTCCTGTCCTGTCATAATGTGGGCATTGCACCATTGTCCATCGGCAAGTGAAACGTGCTCCATTCCAAGCAGGGGCAGCATCCAGGACAAAGTTTGGTACCACTCGCTGCCACTGAAGAGCATGAGCTGATGAGCATTCCATTTGTAAACCTTTCTGACATCGCCTTTGCTCCTTCCAGATCCGTAGTAGCGTCCAAAGGCACTGTTCCTTTTACCGACAATGGGCGCCTGGCCTCTGGCGCGAAGTAGTAGTAGGGAGTTGTCTGGTGACAAGTGTGGCGTTTATCCTATACTCCTACAAGGCTATAGAGCCTGTGAAGTGTGGAGGCAGACGCAGACCCACATCCGGATTGGCAAATGGCAGCCCTTTTCTTGGTTGGATTGGAGTTGGAGTTGGAGGCCGGAGGGACGACTCCGACGAGGGGCACGGCATCATTCCATTGGGACAGTGACTGCCTGCAAATTGGGTGGGGGTGAGCCGTGGGGGGGCCAGCATCGATCCATCCCATGTGAGGTTTGCGTCCCCATCTCATCTGACACCTGATGGTGCCTGCACTGCACCGGTGAAAAATCGTCGAGGGAGTGAGGGCGAAAACGAAAGGAAATGGGGATGGATGGATCGGCTGAGCCTGACCTGTGACCTCCCTCCCTTCATTTCTTGAAGGTCAGTCAGTGGTGAGGGGTTGAGTGCAGAGTAGTGTGGGCGTGAATGCGATGCCCATCTCCTGCATATCCATGAACCATGATCCGTTCGTGCAGATCTCGAATTCTCAACGCTTGCGTGTGCGTTATCCAGAACCGGTCCCATCGATCCAAGTCCATTTCCATCCATCAGTGATTCGTCGTCCTCTCATGTGAAACACGCTACACACGGTGCCTCTGCAGTGGTGGATGACGAAACGAACAGGCTGGCCTCTGCAGTGGTGGGGTGTGGGGGATGGATGGCCCTGCCAAGAAGGCAACAAGTGGGTGCCTGTCCTTGGCTTTGGGTTCTGGATGACGACGAGCGAGATGAGATGAAGAGCCCAAGGCCAAGGTCAAGGTCACTCGAGGCATCTCCAATTCTCTGCGATGTCCGATGGGCGAATGGCAGCTCCATCTCCAATTCTCCATGATGAGGATTCGTCCGTCCCAGTCCGATCTCCGGGCGGCCCCGCGCCCGGATCTCGTGCGTGCCCGATCGCCGTCCCCTCCCAGGCACCCGGCTGGCCTGGGGAAAAGGATGGAGGAGACAGGAGAGCGAGGTTTACTGATCCTGATGCCTGGTTGGGGAGTGAAACACGCGACGGACACTGGAGGAGCTGCTCCCCAGACCCCAGTGGTGGACGCCGACAGCCACGACAGTGAGGCCTCAGGAGGCCCGTCTCATTCGCAAGGTGCGCCTGCCGCTGCCAGCCCAGGCCAGGTGAAAACGCGATCACGCGCTGCGGCTGCGGCTGCCTGGTTGGTGCGCAGGCCCGGTGCCGGTGCCGGTGCCGGTGCCGGTGCCGCCAACGGACGGACGCCCAGGAATCTGCACCAGTCACCTGCCCGGGATTCTCATCTCGATTCGATCGAATAGGCTACTGTTTGCAGTCGGTACTGGAGTGCCTGCATGCCTGCCCCCGCTGCTAACCTACGACGGCGCCTCAAATTGGCCGTCCTCCTGTGCTGGCCGCGCATGCACTTTTACCCAACTTTTTAGCGCCGGCGGAGGACCACCGCGGCAATCACGGTTCATCCCCTCGGAGATTAGAATGATAGCACACTGCGGCCCAGGGTAGGGTAGTGTACGGCCGTTCCCAGCCTCTTCTCCTAACCGCTCGTAATAGGAACGGTACATGATTGAACCCTGTCGCATTACAGGGTCCGATCTCATGGGTTGCATTACGTGCTTTAGCTCCTATCCAAGTTTGTGTTGTGCGGTTTCCTTTATATTTGGTTTGCCTGCATAGGTTCTTATGCATGTATATGCACGGTGCTCAAAGGCCAATGCAACATTAGCTAGGACGCCAGGTTTTTCCATATTGGACAATGTGGATTTAGATATAAGCTGATAGACCTGTAAAAATAAAATATTATCTACCTTTACTATAAACATGATATCTCTAATAGAAGTTGTAAGATGACTATTATGTAATATAAAATGTGAATAAATAAACACAAATTTATCGGACACGACTTGCCTATGCAGGATAACCAAACACGAAGGCACTGTATACATTTATGCTAAGATGTCCAAGAGGGGGTTAAATTAGGCTAATTCTAAATTTATTGTAATAATTAAGTCCTACACTTAGCCCATTTCACCCTCTTGTGCCTAGAAGTATTTCTATTGTTCTACCGCACAAAAGTTTTACACACTAAGTTCCAATCCTACTCTAGCATGGCAATTCTAAGAATGTAAAGACATGAATTGAATTGTTTAAATGTAAATGCTCAAAGTAAAGAGAAAGAGAAGAACGCGTCGATGTTTTTTTGAGGTATCGGAGAGTCGTCACTCCCCACTAGTCCTCGTTGGAGCACCCGCGCAAGAGTGTAGCTCCCCCTTGATCCGCGCAAGGATCAAGTGCTCTCTACGGGCATTATAACAAACACCTGGCGGGCGACAAGGGAACTCACCTAGGGAATGATGTCAATCAGCCAAGGGAACGCCGAGGATGGGCGTACGCGTTCGCTGGACTCAAGAGAATCAATGGTGAGGTCGACGGAAGGACCACGATGGCGGTGGCGATGACCCACGGCGGCTGAGGTTAGGGCACCGCGACGGCGATGGAGGGGCGCGAGCGTGGGTAGAGCGGACGGCCGCGGTGGCTACGCTGCGCATGGGCCCGCGGAAGGGCGACCGGAGTGACGCAGCGGCGGCGCTAGGGTTCATGCGAACGTGGCGGCGCGGCGTGGGTGCGGCGGTGCGGCGCGAGAGCGGCGGCGAGAGGGCGCGGGCACGGCGACGCGAGGGCGCAGGCGTGTGAGGGAGAAGAAGAAAAGTATGTGTGGGCCCCAGCGTCAGACAGAGAAAATATAGATCTATTTTGCTTTGACAGTTGTGACCGGACGCACAGGTGAAAATGACCTAACGCTGCCCCCCGGGAGGGTCGCGTACATAGAGGTCCAAAGAGCCTCAAAACGTGATCGGACGCGTCCGATTACCCCGGATCGGATGTAGCTTAGAGTCCGATCATTCCTGTGTTCCAACTTGCCCTGACCGGACACAGATTCAATTTGTCACCGTACGCGGATGGAACATTGTTCATCGTTCGGTCTTCTTTAGCACTTGCATCTCCTCCTGATGTATTGACCGGACGCTGCCATAGGTGAGTCCGTTCCCTGCGTCCGGTCCATCTTCCACATCAGTTTCTTCTCCTTTCTACACGACGCTTTCTCCCAATAAGTCCCAACTCCGATAAGACCAAAATAACCACCAATTGGGACAGATATGGGAGAGCTCTATCAAACCCTCAAAATTTTTAAAATAATTTGCCTTTGGCTATAATTTATTTTAGAAAAAATAAGCAACAAAAGAGGTGAGGAGCAACATGTGGCCACCAATATGGTTTATAACCAATAGGGGCTTCAAATGCTCTCCCTATTTGTGGACGAACACAGCGGATGCTCAAAAAAATAACCGAAAAGAAACGACAAAGCAACACACATGCGTATGCAATGTAATACTTGAAAGAAAAACTAGTTGCTCGTCAAGTTTGATCCAAAGTTAAGCTTCTTCACACGCTTTTTGGCGGTTATCTTAACTATGTTAGACAAGCCCTAAGTGCATTACTAAAAATTAAACATGTTTATATTACAATGCAATACAAGGGACAATACAAGCTCATTTTTTTGTGAAGTTACGTAGATCAAACACATTGAGCTCATTCCTCAACCGACAAAACGTAGCCTCATCTAGCGGTTTTGTAAAGATATCCGCCAATTGATCCTCGGTCTTTACACCTTCTAGTGATATTTCATTTTTAGCAACATGATCTCTAAGAAAGTGATGACGGATATCTATGTGCTTGGTGCGAGAGTGTTGAACCGGGTTATTAGCAAGTTTTATCGTGCTCTCATTGTCATACAAGAGAGGTACTCTTTCTAGAACTACACCATAGTCTAGAAGAATTTGCTTCATGTAAAGAATTTGTGCACAACAAGCACCCGCGGCAATATACTCTGCCTCGGCGGTGGACAAGGCCACACTAGTTTGCTTCTTAGAGGTCCAAGACACTAGTGATCTACCAAGCAAATGGCACCCTCCGGATGTGTTTTTTCTATCAATTTTGCAACCGGCATAATCCGAATCGGAATAGCCAACTAGTTGGAATCTAGCTCCTTTGGGATACCAAAGACCAATGCTTGGTGTGAGCTTAAGGTACTTAAGGATTCTTTTAACGGCAACCAAGTGAACATCCTTAGGATTAGCTTGAAATCTAGCACACATACACACACTAAACATGATATCGGGCCTAGATGCGGTCAAGTATAACAAGCTATCAATCATAGAATGATAGAGAGTTTGATCAACCGATTTACCT